CATTATTACTGCTTCATTGATTAACTCTCCACTGGCCTCAAGTCTGCTCTTTTCTGGATCTCAGGTTATAGCAGATTTAACTATGTACTGGAAGTGGAAGCACACTCAGATGCATCCTCAGGAAACTACGAAATGGAACTTGTGCTCCCCTGGAATTTGGTCTTCCTTCTGATTTTTCATGAAAATAAATGAGGCTACTATTTTATTCTAACTCCTGAAGCTAAAACTTGAGCCATAAATTTGGCTTCTCCTTTCCCCTAGCCATTTCCTAAAAAAAAAAAAATTTCGCAATTACTACTTCATCCTCATCCCCACTCTCATTCAAGCCACTGTCACCTCCTGCCTGGCACAGACAGTAGCTTTTTCCTATCTGGTATGTATATACAAACTTTTTCTTTTCAATTATTTATTTGGAAGAGCTATAGAGTGGGAAAGACAGACTGTCCATCCTCTAGTTTGTTCCCCAAATGCCAGCAGCAGCCAGCACTGGGGCCAGGAGGAAGCCAGGGGTTACAGCCTAGCCAAGCCTGGCCTACCTTCCCAACCCAACTCTTATGTGACTCAATAGGTACTGTACCCTAGACCAGACTGTCCCATACCTATTCTGGTGCTCCTGAGTCCCAGAATGGCATATGGTACTGGAGCCAAGCCCAGCTTGGTTCACCCACCACACCAGTTCTCACTCACCATCACGAGCTGCATCCCAGTAGGGAAATCTCCAGAGTGCCCTATCATGCCCATTCCTAGCCCCTGGTCTTGGGTGTGCTGTCAGGTATTATAACCTAACCCAGCTGGGCACAGCCCATACCCTATCCTGGCTCTCATATGAGCCACTGGCTGCTGTGGCCTGGCCTAGCTCAGTCTGGCCCCAGATCTGACCCACACAAGTGCTGATGAGTGCTTTACTCTTGCCTGGCCTGGCCCTCCTCCAGCCACAGCTCTTGTGCTCCTCAGCAGAAGCTGTGGCCCAGTAGGGGAGTTCCCCCAAATTCCCCTAGCAGGCTTACTCCCATGTATGCTTATGGATGCAGCAGCCCTGCTTGGCATGATCTGCCCTCAGTCCTGGTCTTTTCATGTGCTGGCACATGCTCAGCCTGGCCCCACCCAGCCCCCTGCCAGCCCTAGTTCTGTGAGTGTCAGATGGATTCCTGTCAGGTGAGTTCCATGGTCCACATGGCTTGGCCCATCACTACCTCCAGCATTTTACGTAAACTGGCAGGTGCAGCAGTTCCACTGAAGTAAGCCCACAATTCCCCTACAGAATCTGTCTCTAGATCCAGTTCACTCACATTTTGGTGGGTGCTACGGCCCAGCCTGATGTGGCCCACCCCCTGCTCCAATACTTGTGGGCAGGTACTGTGGCCTAACCCAGCCAGACATACCTCCCAGCCTCAGCTTTTGCAAGCACCAGTGGCCACAGGTGATGTAAGCTAGTCCAGGTCTCCACATGGGTGGGTGCTTTGGCCTAACTTGGACATACCCTTTGGTTTTCCTCCTCAAAACTACTCTGTCTATCGGACCATGAATAGGTAGACACACACAAGAATCAGGTCTGGGATGGCCTCAGATGAGGTTTCTTTGGCAGTTCCCTACCAACTGAACCGTTGGACTCAGAACCCCAACCATGGAGAGAATTGCAGGTTCCAAGGTCTGACTGTAGAGCACATGTGTCAGAGCTGGGCCTCCTCAGTGGCTCAGACAGAGCAGTGGACAGCATATCCAAATGCACATGGAGGACATGGCAGTACATTGGCGCCTCCAGAGGACGCCTGGTACCATGGCAGAGGATGGAGGACAGAACAAATTGATCAACTATTCCAACCAAGCATTGGCAGGGAATATCTGGGCAAATGGAGACTCTAAGGTGGACCATGGCAGCCAGTGAATTCTAGAGATTTAATTGCAATTGAAGTGGCAGGATTAACAGTAATTCAGGACTGTTGAACTATCAAAATCTCTTGAGGATTTCATCGCATTGTAAATTTCTATTTTTCTTTGTGTTGTTGATTTTGTATTGTGGCTTTTCACTTAAGGGGATGTACAATAACTAATGGCGATTATCATATCCAGATGTGAGGATACAATAGTGTTATGAATCTCTATTTCCAGATCAAAGGTGGACTATCAATGAAACTATTAACTATGAGGATACAATTGTAGTATGAATCTCTATTTCCAATCAGAACCCAAGCCATTGCTCTAATATGGGACAGCAGAGTTGCTGGTAACAGCTTAGCTTGTTTTGCTACAACACCCACCCCTGTACTTCCTTCTATGTGTTACTAATAAGATAATGTCCCTTAGGGACATCTAGATAACTTGATACAGCTTGCACAGTAAATATTACAATATTTTTCTCCCTTGCTTTTCCTGGGGGTGAAATTGGAGCACTGAAAAGCCATCCCTCAAACATGATATGAAGGATTTTAAAAATTTAAGTAAGTGTTCTAGTTTAAATGGAAGACTTTTCTTGCCTTTTTTCTCTATCAAAACAAAACAAAACAAAACAAAACCCTGCTGCAATGACAGATGTTAATGACCAAGGAGAGACTAGGAGACACTGGTGAATAGCAACTGCAATTGGGACTGCCAATCAGAGAATCTATGATGGTGACATGATAAGGGAATCCAGAAACCAGGAATGTTTACTGATAAACATCTGCAAGGGGTGTGTAAAAGAGACAACACCCCCAACAAAGAATTTTTTGGGGGAGGGCAGGCAAGCAAAAAACATTCCAGAGAGGATGGGGCTGCCTGGGGCAGGCAATAGAGGATCCACTGATGGACAGACAGTCCAGAGCCTTATCCCACCGTGTGAAACTCAATAAACTTTTAGTCCAGAGAAGATGTAAAGCTTGGTTTTCTGGATAAATTGAACCAAAGAAGGCCTAAACTCATAGCAAAGAGCTATACATGCAGGCTGGAGTGTAAAAAAGCAAATTTTGAGAAAGGACTGTCACCTGTCTTCTTCCATTTATTCTCCCTAAATCAGCATCTTGGAACATAACTTTTCCCCTCATCCCCACCCCCCACCACCACCTCAAAACACTGGAAGATGATCTCTGCAGAAAGCCTACAGTCCCCGAGAAAGGGGTTACTGACACCATTACATCTCCAAGGACAAAGCCAAGACAACAGAAGAAAAACTCCACATACAACCTGCTTTTCCGTGCTTCACTTTTAACTACTGGACAATCAGCTAAGGTACACCTTCCACATGAAACAATCATTTCAGCCTACTTTCTGACCTGCAGGCTTTGTTTTGACCTCCAAAATGAAACAGTGACTAAGATTCAGAATGTAAGCCTAGAGGGAATGTGTTCCGATATTAGGATTACAAATATCTGAGAGACACCCCCCCCCCTCACCAATGCCCAAACAACATCTTGTATTACACCCTGATGGCTACCACGGTCCCTGGAGAAGGGCGGAGTTTGCCTCCAACCAGACCCAGAAAGAATGGCAGAATTCTGGCGGGCCCCTCCGGGCTGTGGAACCACCCTTGCACCAATGAGGAACACAGACCCATATCCCCTCACCAATAAGGGCCGAGGCGACCCCCGTCTCGGATTCTGCAGCCCACTCCTTCCCATCTGTGTTTCTGCCGGACGGGGAAGGGAAGCCCGTGACCGTGGTTCCCTGAAATAAAGGCCATCTCAATTCTTTACATATATTTGGCTGAGTTATTCTTTCCCTGGCGATCGGCGAATCTAACATTTTGGCCAGCGGGTAATCTAACACACCCAAACTTCTATCTTACTGCATAAACCTGCGTGAACCTTCAGCTTCCTCGGAATTCAGCAAATTACACAGCCCTGGGGCCATACAGCGCTTTGCTATCACATTTCTTAGCGATCCATAACAAAGACCCACATTCCAAGTTACACATCAATTACTGTGTCTTACCTTTAGAAACACAAGTACTCCAGGTCCCACCAGAGCGGCAACCACAAATCCTTGGGGGAAAAAAAATTAATAAAGTAAACATTAAAATAATTTAAAATACAATATACATTTTATGTTTCTGATTTTCATCTATTTGAAAGGCAGTGTGATAGGGAGTTCTTCCATTTGTTGGCCACTCCCCAACTGCCCACAACAGCCGCCCTTACGTGGTAGCCAGGAACCCAAAACTCCATCAGGGTCACCTACGGGGGTGGCAGAATCCAGCACACTGAAGCCTTAGCCAGCTGCCTGCTGACCCTGACCATAGACTATTTTGTGACCAACTAGTACTTTAAGGCCTTCAAACACAAAGTAGTGACAGGGATCTGAAAGTACCAGTCTCCCGGATTTGATCAATTCGTGCTGTGTGTGTGTGTGCTTAACTAGCATACTGTGCTCCAGAAATATGCTTCGTGAGTCCATGTTTAAAAAAAAAAAAATTCGAAAAAGGAAGCAGCCACCAGGTTTCATGTAACAATCCCCAGACAGCTCTATTTAAAAGCTGTTTCTGCAAATTGTCCCCGTGAATCCAGTTTAGATCCACTGAGAGAACTGCCCTCTGAGAGCCGGGAGAGGAGCAAGACCAGCACCCTTTCTCTTCTCCACCTTCCCCCTCCCCAGTCCCTCTACCCTATCTTCCCCCACGCTAACCCTTGCAGCAGCAGGACTGGGGCGCCAGCGGCCTCCCGGTTCTAATCGCCAGAACCGGTCGCAAGGTGCTGAGTCCCTTGACGGACTGCAGCGAGGCAGCCCGCGGGCGCGTGGGGGCTGGCGGGCGGGCGGGCGGGCGCGAGGCCCCCGGCCGAGGGTTACCCCGGTGCGCGGGCAGGGTGGGCGGCCCCGCGGCCTAGCGTGGAGTTAAGCGGCCTCGGCCTCGGGCTGGGAGCCGGGAGCCGGCGGCGGAGCTTCAACAGCGCTCCAGGAAGTTGCCTTTCGCCGACCGCGGCAGGCAAGCGGCCCACATGAAGTCCAGCCCGGGCCTCCAGGCCGCCATCGACCTCACAGCGGGCGCCTTCGGGGGCACAGCGTGCGTCCTCACCGGGCAGCCGTTTGACACGCTGAAAGTCAAGATGCAGACCTTCCCCCGCCTGTACTCGGGCCTCGTCGACTGTTTCGTCAAGACCTACACTCACGTGGGCTTGCGAGGCCTCTACAGGGGCACGGGCCCCGCGCTGCTGGCCTTCGTGGCGCAGAACTCCGTCCTCTTCATGTGCTATGGTTTCTGCAAACAGTTTGTCAGGACAGTGGCCGGCCTGGACAAAAAGGCGAAACTGAACGACCTGCAGTCCGCGGCCGCCGGCTCCTTCGCCTCAGCCTTCGCCGCGCTGGCCCTCTGCCCCACTGAGCTGGTCAAGTGCCGGCTGCAGACCATGCACGAACTGGAGATGTTGGGGAAGATAACCAAGAGCCATAACACCATCTTGTCAGTGGTGAGGAGTATTCTGCAGAAGGATGGCTTCTGGGGCTTCTACCACGGCCTGTCCAGCACTCTGCTACAAGAAGTTCCTGGCTACTTCTTCTTCTTTGGTGGCTATGAACTGAGCCGGTCGTTTTTTGCGGCAGGCAAATCCAAAGATGAACTGGGCCCTGTCCCCTTGATGTTAAGTGGCGGAGTCGCCGGAGTTGCCCTTTGGCTCATCATCTTCCCAGTGGATTGTATCAAGTCCAGGATTCAGGTTCTTTCCATGTATGGAAAACAGGCAGGATTCTTGGGAACTCTTGTAAGTGTGGTCAAAAATGAAGGAATAGCAGCCTTATACTCTGGACTGAAACCTACCATGGTTCGAGCCATCCCTGCCAACGGGGCACTGTTTTTGGCTTATGAATACAGCAGGAAGATGATGATGAGCCAGCTGGAACCGGCCTAGGCGCAGGTGGATCTAAGCCAGGTGTCTGAGGACAGCAGTTCCATTCAGAATCCTTGGAGTGCCAAACCTATGTGCAATTATTTTTTTCTACATGGCAGGAATTTTGATTTTTGGCTTTTTATTCTCACATTTTCGACATGTGGAAGGACCTCTACATCATAACATTTCTGCCGTAATTGTATTAAAGTAGGAATGTCCTTGTCCTTGCTTTTGCTGGCATAAACAGTGGAGGCCAGAGGCCCACTATGTACCTAATATGAAAGACTAAATACAGTTCTTTCAGGGTAAAATGTAATTCGGTTTCATGTTTAATCTTAAATAACGTTCTCCCCCAAGCAGAGACTTGACTACGTTTCATGAGATAGGCATAAATAACTGTTTCTTTGTGGAAGATGTAGGGTCTTTTCTAAAGTTTGCTAAACACAGGCACACTATGAGGATGTTAATGCTTTTAATATTGTGTGGGAACTTAAGAGTCAAGATGCCCATGTAGAGTTTTTAACTTAATTTAAAAATTTTTTCAGGAGCAGTGCAGTGGCTCAACTGGCTCATCCTCTGCCTGCAAGCACCAGTATCCCATATGGGCACTGGTTTGTGTCCCAGCTGCTCCACTTCCCATCCTGCTCCCTGCTTGTGGCCTGGGAAAGCTGCGGAGGATGGCCTGAAGCTTTGGGATTCTGTACCTATATAGGAGACTCAGCTGAGGCTCCTGGTTCCTGGCTTCAGATCAGCTCAGCTCTCGACATTGTGACCATTTGGGAAGTGAGCCAGAGGATAGAAGATCCTTCTTTCTCTTTCTTTTGCTCTGTAAATCTGCCTTTATTTATTTTTCTTTTATTTGAAAGGCATAGAGAGAAAGGCAGGCAAAGCCATATCCCCCATCTGCTGATTCACTCCCAAAAAGCTAAGGCTGGGTCAGGCTGAAGTCTACCAACATTTGCCACCTTGGGTGTCAGGGACCCGAGGACCTGATCACCTGCCACCTCCAGGGGCACACCTTAGGAGGAAGCAGGGATGGAGAGTGGATCCCAGACTGGAACCCAACACTCAATGTGTTAACACAGGCTTAACTGGCAGCTTAACTACTAGGCCTAATGCTTACTTCCTGTGCAAGCAGATTTTGAAGAGGAAAACGTAGCTGCACGTTGGTGTGAATTAAAGTCTCAGAGTAGGCATTCTGGACTTCGCCAAGGTTTTCTATGTTTAAAATAATGACATTCATTTTCAAGTGGGATTACAGGCTGTGCTGTGTATTACTAGGCCTTGGTTGTCAGGTCTTCGGGAAGCAGAATGGCTATCACTGGCACTCATTTCCTTTCTTCTCCCAGAGAACCAGGCGTTAGGGTAAGAAAGGGCTGGGAGATGGGGTGCTCTTAAGGGCTTTTTTTTTTTTAATTAAAATCTTTTTTTAAAGATTTATTTTTATAGGAAAGTTAGATATACAGAGAGGAGGAGAGAAAGAGAGGAAGATCTTCTGTCTGATGATTCACTCCCCAGGTGACCGCAATGGCCTGTGCTGTTATGATCAGAAGCCAGGAGACCACAGCTTCTTCTGGGTCTCCTACACGGGTGCAGGGTCCCAAGGCTTTGGGCCGTCCTTGACTGCTTTCCCAGGCCACAAGCAGGGAGCTGGCTGGGAAGCAGGGCTGCTGGGATTAGAACCGGCACACATATGCAATCCAGGCGCTTACAAGGCAAGGACTTTAGCTGTTAGGCTACCACACCGGGCCCTAAAATTTATTTCTATTTGAAAGGTAGATTAAAGAGATATTTGGTTCACTCCCAAAATGGCTGCAATGGTCAGAGCTGGGACGGTTCAAAGCCAGGAGCCCGGAGGTTCTTCTAGGTCTCCCACATGGGTGCAGGAGCATAAGGAGTTGGGCCGTTTTAACATTAGCAGGGAGCTGGCACCCACATGAGATGCCAGTACTGTAGGCAGAGGCTTAACCCACCACATCATAGTGGCAACCGCTTGCTCTTAAGCTTTGATGATGACTCATGTGGCTAAAAACACTGCTTAGCTTTTAGTCCCTGCGTCCTGACTCCAGGGTGTTCTGCTAAGTCCATTTAGGAGTTGATTCATTTTGGGTTACTCACTGTTGCTATATCTGCTTCCACTGTCAAAAACTCTTCCAAAGGGCAGCCCTGTGGTACTACTAACTGTCTGGTGCCAGCATCCCACATGGGCATTGTTCATGTCCCAGCTGCTTCACTTCCCATCCAGCTTCCTGCTAATGGCCTGGGAAAGCAGCAGGGGATGACTCAAGTCCTTGGGCCCCTGTACACACATGGAAGACCAGAAAAAATTCCTGGCTCCTGGCTTGGGATTGGGTCAGCTCTAGGTTGTTGCAGCTATTTGGGCAATCAAGCGGCGGAGGAAACACCTCTGTCTCTGTCTCTTCTCACTCTATCTCCAATAATCTTAAAAAAAAAAAAATCTGCCAGGGAACAGAAAGTGCCAAACTGAAGCAGAACTTTTGCTCCTAGTTTGACCATGGAATGATGGTGCAACTGGGTGATGTCATTGTCTTGCAGGTAAAATTAGACAGTACTTGGTGCTTTTATTTCACAGTAATGTCAGGGATGATTCATTCTTGAAATTTTACCCTGGGGCCTGTAAGTTCTTGTCATGCTTTTACAGTGCTAAGTGGAGTCTTCTAAATTTGTACGGGCCATCTGTGAATAATTTATTAAGATTGCAAAACTTACGATACAATTTAAGGAAAATATTTTTTTTTATTAAACTCTACCATATATATGTCTATAGTCACTGACCAAAAAAAGAAAAAGCAAAAAGCAAAACGCCACATACATGAAAGCAGGTTGCCTCCTCCTCGCAGTCACCTGTTCTCCAGTCTTGGAGAGAAGCAGCTATTCTTTGCTCACATTGGTTATGTAAGAGGGTCATCTTTGTTATCAGTAAAATAAGCTTCATCATTCTACACAGCTCCAAACCCGCAAGGCTTCTCTGAGGAACAACTGTATCTGGCTGCCAGTCTTACCGGCAGTCCACACCAAGTGTGTCCACCATGCCAGAATTCAAATCTTGAGTGGGAACTTGCACATCCTTAAGCGTGTCATTATCCCTGCAGCCACATCCAGGCAGCAATAGGACCTGGGAAACTCCAGCCGCGAGACTGGGTCATGCCAGGCCTGGAGTGCTTGACAGCTGTGACTGCTTTTGCATTCATTTGCTGTTACTTTCAAAGAAAATCCCTTTCCTCCTCCTCTTTATGATTTTTAATAAAGTTAAATTGTATATTCTGTACTGCAATGAACATTAGTTTTTGAGCCGTGCTTTGAGCAGGCCTGCATGAAAGTAGAGCCAAAATGGTGTGGAAACAATTGATGGGTTCAGTATACAGGCTTGTGGGAACTCTCATAATTTCAAGTCAACTCCCATTCACTGTTGAGGTGTAAATGCCTCAAGCCCTCCTCCCTTGTGCCTGATGTTGTTAATGAACTTTGGCTATTCATCATCAAAAAACTAGAGCCAAAAAGAGGTCTAGGTTTTATCAGGAAGTAGGTCACTTTCGTTTGCCAGGCACCTGTGAGCCAGCTGCAATAGCGCTGGTATTGGCAGACCTTCGCATATCTCTTCTGTTAAAAAATGAACTAAATACCTACAGTAGGGCAGTTTGAGGCAAGTAGAAACCAGTGGAACAGAGAACTGGAAATCCAAGGAGGATTTTTTTCCCTATTTTAATCCCTGGCTTCCTATTTGAAAACAATTTGCATCAGTTGATACATACTTGAAACAAAAATACAGTAACTTGAAGTACTGTGTTCTAAAACATGTTTTAATTTATTATTTGAAAGGCAGAGACAGATTTCATATCTACTGTGTTCACTCCTCCAGGTGCCTGGTAACAGCAAGAGTTGAGCCAAGCCAAAGCCAGGAGCCTGTAACCTGACCCAGCTCTCCCACAGGGGGTAGGGACCAAGGACTTGAGCCATCACCGCTGCCTCCCAGGGTCCTCATCTGTAGGAAGCATCTGAGTAACTGTACCAAAACACCTGCCCTGAAATACTATGTTTCAAAATAGCTGAGTGTTACATCATGAATTTCTTTATCTACATAAACTAATTCACACCACTTATAATATTTGTATAGTATTCTGGTTAGCCATACAAATATTTGCATAGGGCTCTGTAATGATATTTGGTTTCTAATAGCTGAGAATACAACTTAGGAAGAGAGATAGAATCCAAACTCTGTGTGTGTGTGTGTGTACAGTGTATGTGTGTGTACAGTGTGTGTGTGTGTGTGTACAGTTGTTGTGCCGGTTTTTGAAACCCCCAGATAATCATCAAGTCTGAAGTCGGTGCTGAGGCAAAAAGGTGGTTTATTCAGGTTAGCCTAGGTAACCCAGCGACCTCCCCCAGCCCAGCATGGCTGGGCGGGGGAGGGGCAGCCGCAGCAGAGGCTGCAAGGATCCACAAGGAGGACCAAAGAAACGCGAGCCAGAAGCCAAGGGAAAGCCCCCCAGTTCTTATACATCTTAGGCTATTAATTATACAGTCATGACTTAGCAGGCTTCTATTGGTGGGTTTGAAACTAGCAACTTTCAAAAAGTACAAATTGATAAGCTATTGGGCTGTGAATCTTATCAAACACCAGGTACCTCCTTCCTGAGGAGTGGTCTGCCTACGTGACCTGCCAGGTGTCCTGCCGGGTGTCACGTAGACTATCAGGCCTGAGGTTCATACAGCCCCAGCCAAGCCATTAAGGCAGAATCACAAAAGGCAGAAACGCCTAGGTTCTTCACAGTCTCTGTATTTAAGACACTATCCCTCCTTTAATCATTTTTGCATTGTGATTTTTTTGTATTCTTTAGCGCTACAGTATTTGTTTTAAGTATTGGAATTAGATCTTTCAGATACATAGCCTTGTTTTAAATTTTATTAAATTCTAACACAATGCAATTTACCCCTCAACTTTGAACAACCTTTCTTGTTATTTATTGCACCCTCTGATCTGCTGCCTGGCAGCACACAAGCATTCCTAATGCTCCTTTAAACTCCTCAGTCGTGGTCCTGGCTTTCACAGGATTCCAAGCTGCAGAAGTTAAGAACATGCATTCTTTCAGAAAGCCTGGGGGTGGCGAGAAGTAGCAAATCTGCTCATTTGAGATGGAACAAGAAGGCTGTGAACTGGGAATTTTGAAATGGAAGCTTCCTGGGGTGACACCACATGACAAAGTCTGTGGTCACAAGGCCACAAGGCCCTGCAGTGTGACCAAGTCCACTTTGGCAAAGTCAGGCCTGGGAAGGCGGATGGTCT